GTGGTGTTATTCCCAATGACTCTAGAGACCAAAATCGTTGTAGGTTGTATTCATCTGAGAATATCTGGAGAAAATTTGCAATCGAATGTACTGGTTGGTCAGTTTTTAGCGGGCCTGATAGTCGATAACCAACTTTGGATTTCATGGCAGTAGGCCCATTTCCACGGATGACTTGGTCTTCGATGATGTCCCAGTATTGGTCGGCTCCAACAAGGAGGGAAATTTCAAAATTCTCATCATTTGTTACAGGGTGTGCAAGTTGAAGGTTCTTCAGATGTGGGATGTTGTTGATATGGTGATGTGAACGAAGTTGAAGTGGTGTTGCTATTCGTTCAACAATTAGTACGCGTAGTGGGATTTCATCATTGGTAATGGTCTTAAGGTTGATGACGGTGGACTCGAGGGACCTTGCAGCTGAAGTTTGAGCACCAAAGCCAGATACACTGATAAATTCTCTTTCTGTGGGTTGTAGTTGCAAGCGGGTTGCTAAATCTTTGGTAATGAATGATCTTTGTGCTCCTTCGTCAAAGAGAATGTTTGCTTCACAGTAGGTGGTCTGATTACCAACTGTTGCTATGGCTGTTTTGAGCAAGGTTTCCGTGTGGGTGGGATTAGTTAGGGGGGCAATAGGGGTCATAGTGGTGTGGACAACAGTACCCGAGGTGTTCCCAGTAACGTTTGCAGCTGGTGAGGGTATTTCAGGTTTTGGCTGACCTTCATTACAGAGACAGGTATGGTGTTTTCCCTTACATGAGCGACAGCGAAACTTTGACAGGCATGCTGAGGATTTGTGGTGACCCAAACAATTGAAACAAAGTTTCTGTTCCTTTACAATTGCCCAACGTTTTGAACAATCTTTGATTGTAGGACATTCATTAGATGAATGTTCTTTCTTACAAGAAACACATTTCTTCGGTTTAGGATGAATGGGTGGAACATATCTTGGTGGTGTTTCATGTCGATTGTGTGATAGGAATGATGATGTGATAGAAGCATGATGATTTTCAGGTGTGATTCTATTTTCCAAACTGGGTATCCCTGCTTCCAGAATTTTAATTTCCTTATAAATGGATTCTCTTAATTGAGAAAATGTCCATTCCGGGTTACTGTGTTCTCGAGCTAAGTTTCGTCTAAGATTATTGGGTAGTTTGCCAAGGATTATGGGGACGAGAAGATCTCCATATGATTCCTGAGATTTACCAAGGGAAGCAAGACCCCTTACATGGATTTCCATAGAATCATAGAATTGCTGTAGGTTAGTTAGGTCATTGGATGGGTTGGGTAAGTTCAATAGAGCTTGCATGTGATTATTAATAATCTTTTGGGGTTCTCCAAATCTAGTTTTGAGAAGGTCTACAGCTTGTTTATAGTTGTTGTTGGTAAGTGGGAATCCAGCTATAGCTCTGGCAGCATCTCCAGATAACTGGGCTCTTAGATAGTTAAATTTTTGTACCCCTTCAAGATTCGGATTTGAATTTACAGCTACATTAAATGAGTCCCAAAATGTGTTCCAAGTCAAGGGGTTTCCAGAAAAGGTTGGTAAGTTTAATTTGGGTAAACGACTCACATGATTTGGGGTTGGGGTGAGGTGTGGTTGAGATGTTGGTGATACTGGGTTGGATTGATAGTTCATTGGAAGATTACCAGTATTAGTGCTAGTATTCATTGAACTAACACCTTCGGATTCGTTAACAGTGGCTGATTGTTCTTGGTTTAATGGTGGGGTTTGCAATGGATTTACTTCGAGTGTTGAGGATGTAGTGGGTTGTGATTCACTGACTTGTTGAGATGGAATGGTTTGTGGTGAATTATCTTGTTGTGGAGGTGTGATAACTTGGGGTGCACTAACTTGTTGTGGAGATGTAATAACTTGGGGTGCATTAACTTGTAGTGGAGATGTAATAACTTGGGGTGCATTAACTTGTAGTGGAGATGTAATAACTTGGGGTGCATTAACTTGTGAGATTACTGGATTCTTAACAGTATTACAAGACAAAACAAAGGCACTTATCTGAGCACTTTTCTCGTTGATTTCACATTCAATATCCTCTGCTTCCATGATTTCTTGTTCGAGTCCGTCGGGATCTTCGACCATAGCTAAGAGTTTTTCGTTCAGTTCGTTCAATACGGTTCTTTTCCTTGCGAGTTGTTCAATAGTAGCGGTGAGCGAAGCAATCTGCATGGCGTTTGGGGCTTCGTCATTCTCCATAATTGTTGTAGCCTTGTTTAAAACCTTTGTCAAATGAACTCTGTGTCCCTTTTGTGAGCGCTGAATTCTTTGAGTTTCTTCCATTCTGGTCACGGCACCAATTAATGTCGTAAAAGACGAGGACCAGGTTTGTTTGGTTGAATATTATTGTGTATAAAACTATTACAAAGCGTTGTGTTTCGAGTTTTTCTAAAACTATAAAAGTGCGCCAAAACAACTGTCATGTGACCGAGGCACAGCTAACCCAAAACTAGCCTAGATATATGAATGTTAATGATCTACCTTAAAGATAAAGATAGGTTTAAAGTTAGTAATCTAATCTAGCATTATTCAACAGTGGCTCGATAACATTGTCAACATTCTGCGAGCAGCTTACAAGTTTAAAAAATGAAGGCTACATTACCTGAGTGAGTTGTAATCTTATTTCTTCAACAATAGTTTCATGATCATATTTCTTGTGACGATTTTGGTGTTGTATAGACGTTTTGTAGCCTTGTTGGTTGTTTGTTTCGGCCATACAAACTACGACAATAATACAAAGTCAAAGCAAAGGTTTCCTTTTTCGATTGACTCCAGCATCTTTTGCTTTAAATATCAGGCATGTTATATTTTCTCAGAAGTATTTTTTTCAACGTTCAAGCTCAGTTTTATAGATATTATTTTCGAAAAAAGCCGTAATATTCACGAAAAAAAGCTGCCATAGCCGACAGCAAAAAAATTTTTTTGTCAATTTTCCCGCCTTTTTCCCCGTTTCCAAGGATACGAGGCCTCATCACGATTTATGAATAAGGTCTATTACTATAATTAGATTAGGGGCGGACCATTAGAAATCCCGGGAGGGGGGGGCATAAAATTTTTGCGGCACGAATTTTTTTTTCAGTCTCCTGTCTCTGCAGGAATTTTTTTAATGCATTTAACCTCTGCACGAATTTTTTTTCAAGACTACTTGTACTTTAATTTGCTGTTTGCTTGCACGAATTTTTTTCTCTGACGTAATGGCTGCACGAATTTGTTCCCAGGCATTTTTCTTTGCACGAATTTTTTTTTTTGAATTTTCACCCCCCCTCCCGGGATTTCTAATGGTCCGCCCCTTATATAGTGCGTTATCCGGGTTGCCGTTTTAAAACTTCTCATAACTCAGCCCCTATTCTGTCGGATTTCTTCAAACTTCCATATATTGTACAACTTTATATATACTTTCCTACGACTCTTTATTCAAATTATGCACTTGAGTTTAAAGTACCCAAAAAGGCAAAAACTAACTCAAACTCATGCAACTTTAGTCGCGGAAATATAAATTTCATTACTATAATTAGATTATATAGTGCGTTAGCCGGGTTGCAAAAAATATATATTTTTATATATATATATTAAAAATATATATATTAAAAATATATATATTTTAATATATTTTCGTCATATACAACAAACTTGAAGCAATTTTTTTTGAAGAAATGAGAAGAATTGATTTACTACGGGAAATTGTGAAATATACGCCAGGGTGCATTCCATGCACGTTTTGCGGAAGATCTTCGGCGTGAGTTTTGAATTGCTGGCGCACAATCACGTCGAGGTTGGCGCACAAGTTTTCAGTTTTGGTGGTTGGCGAGCATCAAATGTTTAAGCGAGACTTTGAGTATTAATAATCGCCTGGTGATTGGATTGGCCTCTATAATTCTTTAGGGACTCGAGAAATTTGTGTTCCTGGTTGTAATAGTATAGCTAAATGGTGGTTATAAGTGGCGGAAACTAGGGGGGCGAGAGGGGGGGACAATCGCCCCCCCCCCCAACATTTTACTAGAATTATATTTAGCTAAATTTCATTTTGAAAAATGAAAGCACAATACAAGGAAGCACTATTTGTTACAATAACAACAGCAACGAAATGGCAAGTTTTAATAAAAACAAGCTAAAAACAAGCTAAAGTCAAGCTAAAGTGTTCTAAATTTATAATCTGACAAGTCACACAATGAGCGTTATGAATTCTGAAAAAAGTCAAATTAAATTAGTCTTGCGACTACAGGTTAGAAGGTGGTGAATTTTGGCTAAAACAGTGGCTTCTACAGTTAGTTGTCATTGCATGTACCAAATTTGAGGAACGTAACTAAAAATTCAGCACGCAGTGACAATTTTTCGGAAACAGGAATCTATCATACAGTATGATGTAACCATAATCGTGTCCAGTTACGTCAGTATAAGGCTCTAAATTTATGATATACATGCATATATCACATAGAGTATCTTCCGAGTGTTCATAAAACAATAGCAATTGTATCAAATTTACAACGGACTATACAGTATCTATATAGGTAGGAATTTTGCAGGTGTTCTTTCACTTCTCTGGTTTAAATATTAGTATTACGTACTGCAAGTTCAGGTTACCGCGATCGTTGCAACAGTTGTGTGATAACGCTTCTAGGCAGGTCGATTGACGTTGCTATGGTGTCGTTTGTGCAATAAAAATCTCATTATCACCATATAAGGTAATAGGACTGTTCAATAATCAACAATAGAACTGCGCATAGACTGATGAAATTTTGATACAGCGGATTTTGATTTAACGTTTCCAAGGTCACGCACTTAGTGAATAAATTTTACATTGTCATTGGTTATTAATTAAACCACCTTGCAATAGACACTTCCCGAATTTGCTTGAGTGCACACGAAACAATAGCTTGGAATCGAGGCGGACAATGTAATCCATTGGAAAACTATACTTATTTCCAATGGATTACATTGTCCGCCTCGATTCCAAGCTATTGTTTCGTGTGCACTCAAGCAAATTCGGGAAGTGTCTATTCCATTCACAAATGTATCTTTGAAATCATCTACAATATTTTCTCTGAAACGTCGTTTTTTTATGCTTAGCACATGATTTATACCAGAATGCACCATAACTAATGTTTTGAAAACCTGGAATTTCTTACAAAATGTGCTTTCAGAATGCTACAAATGCCATTTCAGGGATCCAAATTTTAAAAATTTTCTGGGGGGCATGTCCCCAGACCCCCTACAAATCTCGTGCCTTCGGTACTCGCCCC